GGGTCTGCCTGGCAGATTCTTTACCTCTGAGCCAGAGCTACCATCTTCAGATATTAAAGTTGCAAGCGCATGCTTCATACTAAGTTACTTCAGTCATGTCTGACTCTGCAACGCTCTAGACTGCGACCCGCCAGGCTCCTCTGTCCAAATCGCAAGGGTTGTATTGAAATCGTCACTTTTCTGAGAGCCTTACCTTCAGATGAGGCAGTTGAGTTCCATGAGAATTAGTTATGCCAGACCTTCAAAATTTTAAGGCCCTTAAAAATGTTGGTACTGGTTTGAACATTATGTGTGAGAAGAACCAGCCCTAGAAGACAGTATGCTTTCCAAAGATAGGTGCCCACCACAAAAGAATGCAGAAGATGGAACGAGCACGTGATTGGGAGTTTGGATGGTAATCCTGCTGTCAGTGGTGAGGCAGTGTTTTCATTCGTCCTTCACTTCCAGAAACAGAGCGGTCCACCCGAGGTGGTACTTGGCAAACTGTGAAGGGAAGTGTTTGTGCTGGGTTCCCCATCAGAACTCAGAGGCAAACAACCACACACCCTTTTCCCTGCACAGCCCCCAGAGGACCCTTTGTTCAGGTGGAAAGCAGTAAAACAGTGCAGGAGACACAGATTCGATCACGGGGTCGGAGGAAAACACTCCAGTAAGAGTGCCCGGGAAATCCCGTGGACAGAGGAGCCTGGTGGGCTGCAGTCCATGGGGTCGCTAAAGAGTCCGGCCCGACTGAGCATGCACACACACCAGCTGCTCCTGGGACAGTAATGTTCAGAAACTGTGGTCTACACGTTGTGCCAGTGAGAAATGAATAGAGTCTGAATCGCCGAGATGCATGTTTAAAACGAAGCCCTGCCTCAGTCCTGTCAGGGTGCTGGTTCTCAGCTGTCTGACCAGACTCCACCGTGAAGTCACCCCCAGGTACTGACCAGAAGTGGCGCAGACACAGTGTGACAGTTCCTCGGGCACTCAGGACGGGAAGTCCAGATGTCTCTGCACCTCTGGCTGCACTTCTGCTCTCTGGCCTTCGTTCGCAGCATTTTACTTTATCAGCTGTTTTATTTCAGCATCCCTATTGTCATCAGATTGTGAGTCCTGCTAAGGGACTCTGTCATGTGGCCGACCAGAGGCTCCAGGACACATCTCCTGTGCACTCAGACTGCTGGCTGTGTTTTTTTTGCCCCCTGTAGACATAAAGTCACATCAGATCCATCAACCATGGCAGCAGTTATATCCTAAAATATGTTCCCCTCCACAGTCTCTAGAAAACATTATCTTTTCTTCTCAAGATGGCCTGAAAATAGAGCAATGGCTTAGTTTTAAGGCATTATTACAGAAACATCTTCTGTCCCAAATTGTTGACACATGCACGTTTCTTAAATGCTCCAAGGCTTTATCCTCAGAGGTAAGAGAGAAATATTCATGAAAAATGAACATGTGTTGAATGTTGGTTCTGGACCAGCTTCTGCACTAAGCACTTTCCAAGGGTTGTGTAATGATTTCTCAGGAAACCCACTGAGAAAGGACTAGCTTAATGCAAAGCCAAGATTCCTCCCAGGGTGGTCTGACCTCTGACCCCTGAGGACCGCTGTCCCGGCAGCATCCACCTCAAGGAGATGCTGTGGGATAGAATGAGGTCTAGAAAGTGCTCAGCAGGCCTGGCACCTTGGGAGCTGCTACTGTTGGTCAGGAGCTGGGACACCTAGGAGGACACCCCAGGTAGAGGGGAGGGGCCGAGGGACATGGAAGGGAGGAGCCTGGTGGGGCTCAGATGGAGGGGCCTAGAGATGCAGTCTATACTTCCATCCCAGTCACCGACCTCAGTGCTTCAGAGTGTTGCAGTCGGCCTTCCTTCCTTCACCCCTGCCCTGAGTCCTCACCAGTGCTTAGTTTGCATTTTCTTTCACTCTTGGTTTAAAGCTTTTATTGTTATTTATTGTTGTTTAACTTACTTAAGCTCATCTATCTCCTTTAGAAAATAGATGATAAATATGTTGTCAGTGGGTAGGCTGGAGTTGAGGGCAGAGTGCTCTGATGGTGCATGTGGATGTGGGTGGAGGGTGGCCTCCAGCCACAGTCTGCACCCAGTGGGGACAGTTCTGAGGGTCTTAAGTGGTCCCAGCTTTTCTCTTTTCTTCTCTAACCTCAGATACTCTTCAGCGCCTCTTCAGGCTCTCTAAGAAGCCACACTGACGTTCCCAGCATTGAAAGGGACAAGCACTGTGCTTTCTAAGTTGAGTCGCAGGGACTCTGCTGTGGCCAGAACGAAGCAGAAGGCCAGGCGTGTTCTCGGGGGCCTTGAGCCTGAGTCACCTCAGCCTGTGGCGTCTGAGCTCCGGGTGGTGGTGACTATTACAGAACTGCGGTCCCGGGTGCTGGTGGCAGCAGCTTCCTGGGCGCTGTGCATTGTGAATAAGCTGTCGAACTCGGTGTTCCCACTGCCAGTTTCTCCTATTTCTAGACATTCTGAAGTTTAATTGGATTCTCAGAGGCAAACAGCCACATATTCTTTTCTCTGCACAGCTCCCAGGGACCAACTCACATAAGACTGGTGTGCAATCAAGCTAAAAACCCTGGCTTTGGGGCGTGTCGGAGTGTCTTCCTCTGGTTGACAGTGGTCTTCAAATGTGTACACACTGCTGTCCACACAGAGATGAACTCCTCAGTCACCCCTGACATAACCTCCATCTAACAAGGGCTTCCTAACCATGATGCTGTGTCCTTCCCTCCACCTTCCCACCCACACTTTGAACATCCAGTGCTTACAGAGCAGTCCTCGAGATTAAACCAAATTTCAGTTGACACTTGACCCCAAGACAGGTAGTGGGAGAACAGAAACTGTCGCTTTCATCAGAAAGGAATTGTGCCTTTAGGTAGGAAAGTCATCTTGTGATAGGTGCCCAGGCAGCCAGCAAGTATTGTACCTGTCCCATCACCCTGCTGGCCACTAGGGTCCCAGGACCAAGGACACACAGTCCCCTCCTAGGTTCTTTCCCAGCAATGCTCTAATAAATCTCAATGTGTGTCTTCTCTGTGAAGCCCAGGTACGAATTCATGAGGTCGAGGGAAATGAGTGATAAGCCACACGGATGTAAAGGCAGTTACAGTGTAACTGTGCCGTCTTTGCTGGCACTTGGCTTGCTTGCTTCTGGCTTAGGTAATAAAGAAGGATACCACTTGCTGCTGGTAGAATGGCCACAACCAGGGGAGGATTTGGTGCCCTCATGGTTATGGCTTAAATGGTACAGGAAAATTGCCTGGAAATTTCACAGTCGTGCTGTTTAGAACAAATGCAAGAGTTTTTCTACTTTAGGAAATGAGGGGCAAATTTATTTTGCAGACTCAAAGAATCTAAAGCAGTACTGGGCCTTGCAGATGCCCAGTTTTGTAACCTTTCACTTTACAAAGAAGGAAATGGGGCTGGTGAGGGGCTGTTTGGGGCAGAACTGAGCCCACACCCTGCCCTGGCAGATCTTTACCCCAAGTTTACCCCGAAAGTCACTGAAATTACTAAAAATATTCAGAAGGGACTTCCATTTCTAGTGGTTAAGACTCTGCCTTTCAAGGCAAGAGGTGGAGGTTCAATCCCTGGTCAGGGAGCTAAGCTCCCACATGCCTCATGGCCAAAAAAAAACAAAAACAGCAAAGCATAAAACAAAAGCAATATTGGAACAAATTCAATAAACAATTTTTAAATGGTTTCTATCAAAAAAGAGATCTTTAAATATTGAGAGGAATTTATCAACAATAGGCCTNGTCGCTCAGTCATGTCCAACTCTTTGCGACCCCATGGACTGCAGCATGCCAGGCTTCCCTGTCCATCACCAATTCCCGGAGTTTACTCAAACTCATGTCCATTGAGTCAATATGCCATTCAACCATCTCATCCTCTGTCATCCCCTTCTCCTCCTGCCCTCAATCTTTCCCAGCATCAAGGTCTTTTCCAATGAGTTGGGTCTTTGCATCAGGTGGCCAAATGATTAGAGCTTCAGCTTCAGCATCAGTCCTTCCAATGAATATTCAGGGTTGATTTCCTTTAGGGTTGACTAGTTTGATCTTCTTGCAGTTCAAGGGACTCTCAAAGAGTCTTCTCCAGCACCACAGTTTGAAAGCATGGATTTAACTTTCATGGACCCAAAAATATGCTTTCCCACTGGGTCTGTCATGACGCACCTGAGGGATGAGATATTTCAGAAAGTTTCCTGCTACTTGATTTTTCCCATCCAGGAGGATGGTCAGATAGTGATTCTTCTCCAGATCTCCAATGGGGAACATCAAACAGCTGCACCGAGAACTCAAGTTTACTATTTTCTAGCTCTTGGCAGAGTTCTGCCCACTCTCCTCCTCTCCTCCTGCCAATAATAATAGAGATATGGCCGAACCCCTGCCACATGGGAAACAATGAGCAAATAATTATGGAATTAAAATGTCACAAGGAAGAGCACCCATTTGATTCTGTTTGTTTAAAGCCTCATATTCTTGAAGCATCTTATCATGTCCTATGGCTGTCCTGAGGGTTCATTTTCATAATGTGGCATTGGAGGAAAAGGGCTCAAAAGGAAACATTTTTCCAATGAGGAAATCTAATACACTCATTCCCTATCCTTCACTATCTCCTGGAGTTTGCTCAAATTCATGTCCATCGAGTTGATGATGATACCCAACCATCTCATCCTCTATCTCCCCTTTCTTCTCCTGCCCTTAATCTTTCCTAGCAACAGGATCTTTTCCAATGAGTTAGCTCTTCGCATCAGGTGGCCAAAGTATTGGAACTTCAGCTTTAGCATCAGTCCTTCCAATGAATATCCAGGGTTGATTTCCTTTAGCATTGACTGATTTGATCTCCAGTCCATAGGGCTACAAAGAGTCAGAGACAACTTTGCGACTGAACAGGAACAAAAGCTACACTCATTACTGGAGCGTTGCTCTAACACAGGTATTTTGGTGCTGAAGTCTCTTGAATTTGCTAAGTATCTGTACTTTTGTGTTCCCTCTTTCAGAATGCTAGAGGATGACCTTAAGCTAAGCAGCGATGAAGAGGAAAATGAACAGGTAAGATTTCCTTTCATGTTGTAGTTCTTTGAATGTGACATGGTAATGCTGACCCAGTAGATGGTCCTGGGTGTTGAGTCGTATGGATGCTGGATTGCAATACCCTTGGCTGCTGGGTGTCCTCTGCTGATGATGGGATTCTGTGCCATTCAGCAAGTCTGTTCAAATATAAATATCTTGGCCTTTAATTTCCCTTAAAGCTGTAATTCTGTATCTTCATGGCGTTGAAGCCATCAGCAGCTATTTACATAGAAGCCACCTGGGATCAGGCTTCAGTGTGAGATAGAAACTTTTTTTGGAAAGGTTACTGGCTTTCTGGAGATCAAACGTGTGAGTTTCACCTCATCAGCATGCAGTAAGCATGCTGTAGCATTAAATATTGAGAAGTCTTCCACAGATACTATTAACACTGAGCAGAAGCGAATGCAGAGGTAAGCTAAAGTGATGAATAAAAAATAATCACACTCAGAATAGCCTGTTTGTCTTAAGTGATAAATGTGCTTGAAACGTTCTCCTCTGGTGTTGATTTATCAGCTGCAGACATCAGTCAGGGGTTTATAAATACTCTTCTGATCAGTCAGTTAAGGTGAACAAATACCCACTTAACATTCATCACTTTCACTTCTGCATTTCAGGAAATGTTTGTATTTTAAAGCAAGTTTGAAAACTTGGAAGACAGATTTTCCTCTGCTTCTGTTTCCTTTTTCTCATCACCTATTTTGTACTGTGTCAAGTTGGGGTAAATGTGATCGGTATAAAGACAATTCAGAGAGGTTTTCTGTGTCATTTTTACATGTGATATGAGACACATGCACTGTTCAGTTGATCTTGGGATAGTGAATTTTATGCAGAGGTATCACGGAATGCCACTCAGGTCACGCAGCCGTCTAGACATCCAAACGCAAATAAGGTACCAAGAGAGTGTGCCAAGGAGAGATCAAAGTCAAAGGCAAAATCCAGGAAGAGCATCTGAGCTGTGGGGTCACACAAGAGCCCCCCACCCCGTAAGAGAAGGTGAGGCATTGAAGAAGGGACTGAGGACAAGACAGAGCTCAGTGCAGTTTGAAACTAGATGGGCCAGCCAAGAAAGGCCCACGGGAAGGAATTTTGAGCAAGCAGGACCACTCAGGCTTTTGGTTGTTAAGAGATAGATCCATCTGTTTCTGGGTGCACCCAGCAGGCCAGACATCCACAACCTGATGATCTTGGCAGAACTAGGGAGTGAGTTGGTCATGTTGGTCATCATCTTTGTATCTATAAGCAAATGATCTCATCTCTTGTGTCTTTTTCCCCAGTGAACATTCAGATTAAGTACATTCCACAATGTACTTAATGTGGAATGTACAGCAAATGTGTAGATTGTGTATACTTCATATTGGAAAAGTGGTTTACAGACTGTTTCATTCAGCAAGTGTTAATTTGGAAAGAATTTCCTGGGTTATTTCCAGAAAATATTCCTACTGAAAACACAGTTTAAAAATTCAAGGATGGACCAGACAAATTGTCTAAGGCAGTGGAAACTTTTAGTTTACCCATTTTGCTTTATTAGCTACTCCTTTCCACTCTGTAGCCATGGAAAATCCTGTTCTGTGAATATACTGGTCAGGTCTTTCTTCTTGCTTTTGGTCCTTATGTTTCTACATCGTCCTGTCATTTGCAATGAAAGAATGAACGATTTTCATATCCTAATCCTCCCTTGTAATTAAAACTCCAGACAGTGGTTTTGTATATGGCAGTTTAGTGATTGTCCTAACACTGATTATGCTATCCTTTGTGTGTGTGTGTGTGTGTGTGTGTGTGTAGAGCTTGGCCTTCATATTGTCCTAACACTGATTATGCTATCCTTTGTGTGTGTGTGTGTGTGTGTGTGTGTGTGTGTGTAGAGCTTGGCCTTCAGATGCATATATATCTCCTGGCCTAATCACAAAATTATAATTCTCATGCTTTTAAAAAAAAGACTAATGAGACTTTCCTGGTGGTTCAGTGGCTAAGACTCCACACTTCCAATCAGGGCACCCAAATTTGATCTCCCAGGCAGCAACTAATGATCCTACATGCTGCAGCTAAGACCTGGCACAGCCAAATAAATAAATAATAAAGGTTTTCAAAAGAAAAAAAGGAAAGTAGATAAATAAAGACTGATGATACAAAATTGTGTTTTCTCTTCACGACCAAAATATGATTGTGCCCCCAAAAGAGTGGAGGATTTGCACACACACAGCACATATACACAATCTGCCTTTCTCTGGCATGGAGAGATAATTAAGCATCTTACATATGTGAGGTTTTCAAATATAATCAGAGTCTGTCCCTTAGCCCAAAATCTTTCAAGAACTTTTTCCGGCCTTGGTAAGTACAGTGCACTGAAATTCTTGGCCTTTTCTGACATGACACCGGGTTGTCCTGTGACTGTCGGTCACCAGCCTGTGTAGCTGTGGTGATAAAGGAGCTCCCACAAGAGCACAGAGTTGCTCCACCTGTTTGTTGTTCAGAAAGTAGCCTCAGACTCAGATGCAATTGCATATTCCTGTCTAGTGTTCCTTTATCCTCGCAGCCTCTGTGCTTTCAAAATCTGAGACAGGCCAGTTTACTGAGTGAGCGCGGGCTCAGCAGCCCTGGCCTCGGCTCCCTGCTCTGCCCCCGGCGGCCCTGCAGCCTTGCCCCAGCCCCCGAGCTGCTCTGTGCTGTCTGCAGCCTGGCCTCGGCTCCCTGCTCCCCCCTCCCACCCCCGGCGGCCCTGCAGCCTGGGTTCCAGTGCTGCTCATGCAGAGCTGGAATTGACATGAGATGCCTGCAGCCCGTCACCTCCTCACAACTTGTGCTCACCGGTAACCTTCATATCACCAGGTCCAACAGGCTTTTTCCTTCTTTTTACATCAACTGCCTGGAGAATCCCATGGACAGAGGAGCCCAGCAGGCTACAGTCCATAGGGTTGCAAGAGCCGGACACAACTTAGTGACTAAACCACCACAGTTGAATATACCAGACGAAAAGTTGGACTTCCCAGGTGGCTTCAGTGGTAAAGAACCTGTCTGCCAGTACATGAGACATAAGAGATATGGGTTTGATCTCTGAGTCAGAAAGATCCCCTGGAGGAGGGCATGGCAACCCACTCCAGTATTCTTGCCTGGAGAATTCCATGGTCAGAGGAGCCCAGCAGGCTACAGTCCATGTGTTACCAAAAGGTGTGTGTGGGTCAGCTGCTCGCTGCCCAAAAGCCAATTAACAGGCCAGATTGATGGAAAGGAAATTTGCTTTATTTTCAGATGCTGACAACTGGAGGGGAGGGGTGGCAGACGTCTGTCCAAAGGCCAACTTTCCCCCACCACTGGCAACCAGTCGGGCAAGAGATTTTATAGACAGAGGTGGGGCGGGGGGAAGTACATGCAGAAACAGCACAGTCAGCTCTGACAGTCATCTCCAAATTGGTCATCGGTGGTTTGACCAGTGCCATCTTGGTTGTTTTAAGTACAGTTAATCTTCAGTTCCAGGGCCCATTTGTTCCCTTTTCTTTGAGGTCACTTCTCTGAATTGTGGCAGCTTGTGCCGTGGGTACAGTCTGGTCGGCATGCAGTAAGCTCTCCACCTGGGGTTTCAGTCTCTGTAAGACAGCTCACAGGCTGTGGCTGAGAGTATTATCTATAGCCTTGAGAAGGAGCTGAACCCTTGAGAAGTCAAGGAGCTCCTTGACTATGCCTAATGACTACCTTGTGATTGTTTGGTCTCCTTTTACTGGTTTTCTTTGCATGTTCTCGTTTCTCTGATTAAACCTATAATTCGACTAAAGTTTTCCACGGACAAAAGGCAGGCTGAGAACATGGGGGTGGGGGCATGGTGGATTCCACCCTAGGTGGATTCCCTAGGGTCCTGCTCCATTTCACACGGGGTTGCAAAGAGTCGGACCCAACTGAGCACGCACGCACACACACACGATATTTTTCAGTATTTTAAAGTTTCCATGTGTCTCTTCTTCCCGGATTCAGTTCCTTCCTCTCTAAATCCTTGTCATGCTCTCGCCTTCTCCCTGTGGACATATGAGGGCACTTAGGAGCTTATCAGAAAGCAAACAGTACCTCAGGAAGACATAACGTTCCTTCATTGCCTTGGTTGCATCTGTTTTTCTGCAGCCAAGATAAAGAGACGACAGAAAGAGGAAAGCAGGTGCTCTCTGCAGCTCGTCAGAATCCTACCTCTGATCTGGACGTGTTCTTCCTACCCCTGGGATTCTTGGCCTCACGGCGCTATGAATCCTACAGTGGTGCCGCCTTATCGTGTTGCCATGCAACGCTTATGAGCACGTGGGTGCATGCACACACATACACAAAACCACACATTGTTAAAGTCATAGCTGAGAAAGGCTTTGTTGTTGTTAATTTAATTTTTCATGACCTCAAAACGTTAGCATGTGCAGGGCTAGGAACAGACTACTCAGTGTGAGCTGGCCTGTCCCTCTGACACAGATGTGAACTTGACTTCTACTCTGGAACACGGCAGAGTAAACAGTCGAAATCACGTGAAGGAAGAAAAAATTTTGAATTTGAGTAATTCAGTGAGTATAGGGAAAAAACAGACAATATTTCTAGAAGAAACAGTTCATAAAGATTTTTTNATGACCACTGGAAAAACCATAGCCTTGACTAGAGGGACCTTTGTTGGCAAAGTAATGTCTCTGCTTTTTAATATGCTGTCTAGGTTGGTCATAACTTTCTTTCCAAGGAGTAAGCGTCTTTTAATTTCGTGACTGCAATTACCATCTGCAGTGATTTTTGGAGCCCAGAAAAATAAAGTCAGCCACTGTTCCCACTGTCTCCCCATCTATTTGCCATTAGTCTCTGCCATGCATCAGTATGAATCAGCCATAGGTATACCCGTGTCCCCTCCCTCTTGAACCTCACTCTCACCTCGCACCCCATCCCACCCCTCTAGGTTGTCACAGGGCACCTGATTTGAGCTTCTTGCATCATACAGCAAATTCCTATTGGCTATCTATTTTACATAT